TGTGTTAGCAAATGGGAGAATGTCAAGGGTAGAAGAGGGTGAAAAACCAGGGGATGGAAAGTACCTAACACACATACATATTTGCTTGTATAATTACAGAAATGCTCAAGGAAAACACTTAAGAAAACGGAAGTATTAATTTCCTTTAAAACTGGTATTCCCTGGTGAAATTTTTCTAAGAATTTTCTAAGTGGTCAGGAGACATTTTACTATATAGCCTTTCAATTTTTCAATAATACTGTGAATGTATAACTTATTTAAAGAAAATGAATCAATATAAACTCATAGACACAGACAACAGTAGCATAATTACCAGAGAAAATGGGGACCCATAAGGTACAAGAGAGTATGGGGGGAGGGGGAAGATACATGATGATGAAAAGAGACTTGACTTGGGGTGGTGAATACACAATACAATATATAGATGATGAATTATAGAATTGCATCCCTGAAACCTGTAATTTTATTTATCAATGTCTTTCCAATGCAATAAAAAATAAAGATGAAAAAAAATTATCAATATAAAGTTTCTAGGGTACTAATGAACATAATAAACATGAAATACATATTAGAGTTGATTTAAAATGTCAACTTAATTATAATTATTCTTCACTAAAATAAATATATCTTGAGGATGTTTTAAATTAGCTATTTAAAATTTTAAATACTTCAAATTTTACAATATATAAGTAATTTTAAACAATAGAATTATTAAATCTTACTACAAATGATAAAGGCAAATCTTTTAGCCCATGAAGTCCTACCATCTGATGTTTTCATTTACATTTCTAATGAGGGCATTAACATATTTGCTAATTTAAAATATGGACTTATGCAAAGAATATGACTAGAAGAAGAAGTTTTCCATATACAAATGTGAATTTCTCATGAGTTGGTCTTTGAGCTGTTAAAATTTTTGGTAGATCATAGGTGCCATGTAAATCTCCTTCAAACATTACTAGATTTTGAAGAAGACATGACAATCCTGAACATGCTTTAGAATTACTTATTTATAGTTCAGTTTTGCTTGTAGTTCTGAGTTTCGAATAAGTTTGGGTGAATTGAGAATAGAGACTCTTTTCTATTTGACATGCATTAAGGCTCAGGCGGCATTAGCCTTTTTCTCAATAAACTGTGCATCTAAGTTCCTCACTCTTATCAGATATTCTAGTATATTCTACTATAACCTTTCATCTTGTTCTCCCCTATACTTTAGTAATAATAGCTTCTCTTCTTTCTCTGGTAGGCCATGTTCTATAATACAAGCATAATATGCAAATTAACAGAATGGTGGAACTACTGGTCGACAGGGAGCAGGGGGCTGGGGTTGCTGAGCAAGTAGTGCCAGGCCAGCCAAGGCACCGCCAGCTGGACATCCCCTGAGGGCTTCCAGACTCCGAGAGGGCACAGCCGGGCTGAGTGCACAAATTTCGTGCACCGGGTCTCTGGTCTATACATAATTAACATGATTAGACTCTCATTTCAGGCTGAAGTATTTTCCAGGATTTAATTAAGACTTAAAATGGCATCTTCCTATGAAATTATTAGAATTCCAAAGTTGCATCACCCAGCTTTTTTCCCCCCTAGTCTTGAGTCCACCTCCATATTATACAAGTTATAAAGATCTGTCTCTGTTAGAAAACATTAACTCCTTAAAAACAGCAACTTTATTATGCCAGGGCTGGCATGTCTCAGGTACTCAATAATGTCTGCTGAATACAGACCAGATTTTTCCCAGTAGATTTTATACTACTAATAGATGAACTTCAGCAAATATTATCACTTTGAGTATTATAGTGAACATACATTTGTCTGGGTCCCAGTGAGGATCTCAATGACCTATAACCTTTGCTCATATAGAGATGTAAACTCAGATGTGTATAAAACACAAGTTTATTTTCCTATAACTCACCTTTAAGTTTTGAATTGCCTATTTCAAAGGGTTGGCGATATCATGATGTTTACCCACCTTTTTCTCCTGGGATAGAATCTATATTTAAGAATACCTAGTGCCCTGGCAAGTTTTTAGGTTGGGAGCCTTTGGTACTTAATGCCATCTGTCTACATAGGCATCCAATGAAAACCCAGCATTCTAACTCGTCATTAGCTCTCTCAGGCCTCTCCTGCGGCCAAGCTCCCTTTCAGGGTGGAGGCTGTCTTTCCTCTTGCAGGGCACACTTGGGGATATTGTTTGGCTCCCACTCCAAGTTAGGGCACAGACCTTTGGGAGTCTGTGTAGTTCCCATCTACCTACTCACCATGAGTCCATAACCTGTCTCTGGGGTCTGCTGCCCTCCTGAACTTTTGCACTCAGGAATTCTGTTACACCTCCCCTCTGCTCTCAGATCTCACAAACCCATCTATGTAAGTTTGCTGGCTTCTCAGGAATGTAACCAGGGAACATGGTTCAGACTCCTTATCTCTGGGACAGTGGACATCTGCCCGGCCATTGCTTCCCCTTCTGCTATCAACAACTCTTGATTCTCCAGCATAGGAGATGGGCTTGTTTGTTTTAGTATTTTCTGCCATTGGAAAGCTACCTTCTTAAAAAAAAAAAAAAAAAAAAAAAAAAAAAAAAAAAAGTTTTGTTCTAATCTCTGGCTATGCCAGGAAGCTTTTTTGTTCCTGTAAGACCAAGCCTTTTGCAACACCAAAGCCAGGAAGATACTCCCCCCTACCCCCCACCTTTTTTTTTTTTTTCTTTTTTCTGTCATACTTTTTTTTCTTAAAGCTGTAAGCACAGAATGCCTAGCTGCTTGTTGGGGTAGAACGATAGGCAAAGAGATTGAGAGAATACTGGGTGGGGGAGGAAATCTGTTAATATTATAATAATAATAACACTTATGAAGAACAGACAGAATAACAATAGGGCTCTTAGAGCAAAATTCTTCTCTATCCAGATGAAATTCTGTCCTTAGCCCTAATGAATAGTGCATGGCCTTGGCTTTGTTTCTTACTACACATGGGCAAGAAGACTTCTGAAGCCAGAAGCCTTATTTTAAGTAACCAGACTTAAAATTGTATGCCAGGAGGTTTATCTTTTCACTAGAGATCAGTTCTGAAGTGGATTTGAGAGTTATGATTCTGTTATTCAAGTTGGTTCCAGGAATATGACAGTTTATGTATAGCTGTTACTTCACTGAAAAATCTAGACACAGCGAGGGTAACATTTAGTCTTTTACACCTAGAAACTTGTATAACAGGAAGAATCACGTTATATATTCTGAGAATGCAAAGGCATTTTCAAAATACTTTTCCAGTTTTTATTTTAATTTTAAAGCATGTTAATATTATTAATTACTACAATACAGTATTAGGTATTTGTAATTAATTATTGCTGACATGTCACATATGAAATTACCTAATTCATTTAATCCTTACAAAAACCTTAAGATACATATAATATCCCAATTTAGAGATACAGAAGCTGAGGCACAAAGTCCAAAGTCACAAGTTATTATCTATAAGATTGAATTAGAAACCCAGAAGTATGATGGAGAAATAGAAGTGTGTATGCTGCCTAGTTGATCATAATGATATTCATCATGATAGTAATGGTTAGGAGATTATGGTGTAAAAGCAACAATACTTTGAATAATAATCTGAAGGGTGATTTTAAGCTAGTAAATTAAAATAAAACTTTTAGTGTGAATTTATCATTTAGTATTTATGAGACAAAGTGTAAGTTACCAGTCTGCAGCCTGGAAATGAGACTGGGTTAGAGAACCATTTGATTTTGATGCTTCTTTATTCAGAGACACAGAGGTTCTGTGCTCAGCTGTTCTTGATCTTCAGGGAACCAGAAGGTGAAAACACCATGAAATTGAAGGTCATCAACTCATAAGAGAGTAATATCTAAATTTTAATGTGCTGGACTTTGAAAGAATCAGCATGAACAGGGGATAAATCCTCTCAAATTATACATTAAAGGTAAAAGGAGATAAAATTTTTTTTAAAAATACCCACTCGAAGATACGGGGTGTGTGTGTGTTTGGAGAGAGGCAGAGAGGCAGAAACATGGGTGTGAGAGAGAAGAAACATCCATGGATTGCCTCTCATACTCACCCTGACCCGGCACCAACCCAAACCTTAGGTAGGTGCCCTGCGGGGGGGATAGAATCTGCAACCTATTCGGTGTACAGGGGAGGGCGCTCTAACCAACTGAGCAACCTGGCCAGGGCGTCACTTTTCTAAACATTCTCAAGGCCATTAGCCCCGTGTAACTCGTCCTCTCATTCAAAAATGTTTACTGAGCACATGGTATGTGCCAGGCACTGTGAGAAGTGCTGGGGACAGAGCGATGAAAAGAACATTTTTGTCCTCGTGGAGTTTAGCGGGAGGAGAAAGGCGAAACTAGTAAATGAACGAACCATGAGAACAGCACACAGTGCCGGGGCACACGCTGCCGCTCTCCGGGTGGGGCCTTTAGCCTAACCTCGGTCACGTCCGCTACGACTGTGCAGGCCGAATTATTAATAATAAAGCGCACCTGACGAGCTAGCTCCCGCCAGGCGGTGCGAGAACCGAGCTGATGATTCACTCCCTACGGCGCCCTCCGGGGTGAGCCCTTCAGGCCCGCGCTCCGGGCCAGCACACCGCGTCCCAGAGGAGCAGGCGCCCCCTGGCGGCAGACCCGGGGATGCAACGGGAGGACGACCCCGGAGCTCTTCGGCACCACGGCGGCGGCCAGGGCGACGGAACTCAGGCGAAAAGGACAAAAAGGATGGAAGCTGCAACCTCACCGAGGGAGGGGGAAGGAGAACCAGAACATTTACCCACTCAGGACCCGACGCCAATTCCAGCGCGTGGAAGCGCGGCAGGGGGAAAGGGGCGGGGAGAATGCCGGAAGTCGAGCTGCCGCTTCCGGACCTGACGCCGGAAGTGGCTCGTCAGCGCCGCCTCCAGGTCTCCGTGGACACCGCTCCGCCGCTCTTGGGTTTGGGAGACGCTGCAGCCAGGAGGCGCCGGGAATCCGCTTCCAAACGCGTCTGCAAGTCAAAATGTCGCACCCGTCCCCCAAAACTAAGCCCTCCAGCCCCGGTAACCCCCGAGTCTTTTTTGACGTGGACGTCGGAGGCGAGCGAGGTGAGCGGAGCCCGCGATAACCTAGCACGGCCCCGAGGGGGCTGGGCACCCCGGGCTCCCGGGGTCGCCCGCCGCGGGTGGGGGGCGCGCCGGGCAGGGGCTGCTCTGCGGAGCAGAGGGGAGGCCCCCCCTTCCCCCCGGACTGTGCCGCCTGAATAAATTAACCTTGACTTTGGGGTTGGGTCGAGCCAGCGCGCCCTGGTGGAATGCCACCGATCGTGCGGAAGTTTCTGGAAATGTCTGGTTCGCGGATCGTGGCCATTCGGTTTGTCTCTCCTATTTGCACCCCCCGCCGCCGGCCACCTTGCTGCGTTACGTTGGCATAAAACACGGTTATGTGACGTTTCCAGTGAGGCCTCCAGGAACCCCGCGGGTGTGCGTCAGCCCGGGTTCGGCCACGCCAGCTTTCCCCGCGCTTGTCCCGGGATGCACAGACTTCAGTGACTTTTGCGTGTGGCTTCCCCTGTGTGACCGATTCCTAGCGCAGCGGTGCAGGCGGGTGGGGGCCCATCTCCTCGGTTTTGGGGAAAATAAGTTCCCTGTAGCGACACGGTTGCCTAGGCTACGTTAGTAGCTCCGAGGCTCCCTCAGCTCTCGTGGATCCGCCTATTGCTTGGTAACCGAATGGCGCCTGTTCTGGAGCATTTAGAATCGCTGACCAGGCAGTGTGTTTGAATGTTGTACAAACGTACATTACAGGACTCAGGGATCCCCGTGGATCGTGTGGACACACACACACACTCACTCACTCACTCAGTTTGGTTTGAATCTAGAGCCAGGTTTATTTTTTCCTGCCTCTGGAGTTGGCTTAGGATGGCAGCTTTTCCGCTTTTGCTTCAGAAGCTGTAGCAGGCAGGTTCCACAGAGCACAAAGGCCACAGCCATGCTCAACACTCAGGCAATCTGACTTTCACAAAGAATTTTTTTTTTTTTTTTTTTTCCCCTCTTGTAGTTAGTTGGTGATTGAAAATTCTGAGTACCTGTTGAAGAAATTACTCAGAACTTAAAACATTTGGTCTTCATCGTGTCCCTTATATGATGCTGATCTTCTGGCTGTTGTGTCTAGGAACCATTGTAAGGTGTAGAAAAATAATTGTCTCAAATTTGTTTGCTTAAGTAGGCTAAATTTGAATACTAGAAAAATGATTAAAAAAAAAAGAGAACTTAGAAATCTTAGTCGTCATAATTTTACTATCTGACCTTTTGACATTTGCTTACTTGGTTGTTTGTTTTGCATACTGACACTGTTTTTTTTTTCTTCTTTTTTTTTTTAGTTGGTCGAATTGTCTTAGAATTGTTTGCAGATATTGTACCCAAAACTGCAGAAAATTTTCGTGCACTGTGTACAGGAGAAAAAGGCATCGGATCCACCACTGGGAAACCTCTCCATTTCAAAGGCTGCCCTTTCCATCGAAGTATGTAAATTTTGTGAAATTCATTCTTACACATAATCAAATCCTGTCCTATAGGAGTTGGGGAAGACACTGGGGGGCAAGGTTAAAAATCAAATTATTAGTTTCCAAGAGGATACTTTGACCCCTGAGGCAATAGCTCTGTTCCAGAAAGACTGGGCTGAAAAGGTAGCATTAATTATAGGAGTGTACTAAGGTTTATTTTAAGAGAAATGAAATACACTGGTTCACCAGTCCTCTAACTTCAATGTGCTTAGATTGAGAAGAAAGGCGTGGCCATGATAAATAAATAGACCCTGGATAGCGTAACTACCAGGTGATAAGAAAGTTAAATCTCCTTGGGCAGGATTGCTCGGGAAGGCTGCAGCCAATTAAAAAATTTAGTGTCGTGGGCACATGGTGTGATATGAGATTAAAAGATGACATTTCACACAGCTTACCGCCACACTTTCTAATCACACTTTTGTTTGCGATTGTTTGGTGGTTCCCCCAATAGACTGAAGGTACTAACGAGTTAACATAACAGGCCCTGGGACTGCTGTCCTTAGGAAGGTCTGCTGGCAAGGTTGGCCACTGAGTAGAATCTGGGAACTTGGAACTTGAACCATTCCCGAAATCATAAAGGTGAATTACTATGCCTAGACTCTTTATACAAGTTATTTGATTTCCTTTTGGGAGTCTGGAATTTTGGTACATACTAGGCAGAGAATGCCTCTATAATCATCCTCAATGAAAATCTAGAGTGCCAAGTCTCTATTGGGCTTTCCTGAGCTGAAACAAATTATATATATTATTGCACTTTCTTTGCTGGGGAAGACAATGCTCTGTGACCAGCTTGTGGGAGGGTGAGAGCACAAGGAAGCACATGGATTCCTCTAAATTCCGCCTGTATATTTTCCCTTTATTATCTGGTTGTGTTTCCTTACTGTGTTGCTGTAATACAACCAAAGGCTGAATCCCATGAATCATAGGGAATTTCTGAACATTAGGGTAGTCTTGGGAATCCTTGACACCAAGAGATGATTTTTGCTGAAATATTTCTACTACAGTATAACAAATCTTAGAATAATTGGCCTTTATTCAGTAGTTATTATTGGGTGACTAATATGTGCCCAGCCACACACATAGTAACAAGGATGAAAGACAGCTGCCCTGGCTCGTGTGGCCCAGTAGGAGCATTGTCCCAATACCAAAAGGTTGTGGGTTTGATTTCTAGTTAGGGCCTGTACGGAAGGCAACTGATCAGTGTTTCTCTCTCATGGATGTTTATCTATCTCTACGTCTCCTTTCTTCTCTCCCTCTTTCTAAAAAAATCAATAAAAATATCCTCAGGTGAGGATTAAAAAAAAAATACACAGAGTTGCTGTACTTAGGGAGTTATTTGCCAGAAAAGACAGACCATTATGATATACTAGAGGCCCACTGCACAAGATTTGTGCACTCGGGGTGGGAGTAGGGGGAGGGAGAGGGTCCCTCAGCAGCCACCAAGACCTCTCGCAGTCCGGGAGCCCTTGGGGGATGTCTGACTGATGATCGATTTGCATATTAGCCCTTTATTATATAGGATGTTATAAAATGGAGGTAGAGTCTAGCAACTAGGGGAGAAAAATTAGGAGATCTAACTTTGAGGTGCCAGTGATAGTTTTATTGCAGAGGTGCCATCGGAACTAATTTTTTTTTTTTTTTAATATATTTTATTGATTTTGTACAGAGAGGAAGGGAGAGAGATAGAGAGTTAGAAACATCGATGAGAGAGTCATCAATCAGCTGCCTCTTGCACACCCCCTACCGGGGATATGCCCGCAACCAAGGTATATGCCCTTGACCGGAATCGAACCCAGGACCTTTCAGTCCCCAAGTCTCTCTATCCATTGAGCCAAACCGGTTTCGGCAGAACTAATTTTCTTATTGTTCCTGGGGGATCAGGCAGTAAAAGTACTTTGGACTCAGATTGTGAAAAGTCCTTGAAGAGTAAAATGGTGGGGAAAGACAAGAGAGTGGCATGACTAGAGTCATTTTAGGAAGATGTCCTTATTATATATTCATTAGTTAACATTGCTGAAGTCATAGTTTTTTTTTTTTATTAAATATTTTTGGGTGACAGTCAACATGAATATAGCTTTGTTTCTAATAGCTATTTTCCTTTTTTTGTAGTTATTAAGAAATTTATGATTCAGGGTGGAGACTTCTCAAATCAGGATGGGACAGGTGGAGAAAGTATTTATGGTGAAAAGTTTGAAGATGAAAATTTCTATTATAAGGTAAAGTAGACAAAATGCATGTTATGATAATAAAGGGTACTACTATGTATGAGCACTTGTTGGGTTAAGACCCGATAGATGTCTCAAGTGCATTTAGAGTCTCTTTTTAAAGGTATTATATTTGGCCATATGCGTCTTTGATATGGAACATTTTCATCCAGTAATGATTTGGCAAAAATACTACAGTTTTTCAGTGTGATCCAGGTTTGCATACTTGAGTAAAGCTAATGAGTTTAAAGTGTGGCCACCATATGGCAAAATTGCTTCCAGGAAAATGTTCTCATTATCAGAAGGATGGTAACTTGTGCATCTTTATGCTTGAATTTGAAGAGCAACAAAACCATCGCTAATATCCAGGATATCAGGGGATTTGCAAACTAGAGGATATGGTTAATGTCCAAGCTCCTAAGGACATTAGTGGTGCCTGTGTCTTCTTATCTTCATTGTCCCAAGATGTAATCGGGTTATATTCCATCATTCAAGTTATAAGAATGGACATGTAAGTACAAAAGTAAAGTAATCTTTTTGGAAATGAGGAAAATGAACAAGGTAATAACTACAAAAGAAAATCTCATCAATCTTTTAGGCAGTATTTGACTGCAACTGTTTGAGTTTAATACTGTCACTGGCACCAAAGGATTTATAAAAATGAAAGGCCTTGATGACAAGGAAGTTTATTATCTTACTGAGGAGACAAGATTAAAACACCTGGGACAACTGGAGAATAACATTATGCCTTCAATATCATTCATTTGGTCTGGCCCTGCCAAGGCATTACACTATATTGTTTGATCTAAATGATATTACAGTTTACTATCGTTAAGTGTATGGTCATTAATTAAATGTTTGACCAAATTGCAGGCTAAGTTTTAAATTGATAATTTTGTATGGTCCTCAAATAATGTTATAAATATTCAATGGCCTTTGGCAGAAAAAAGGGTCCCCACCAATAGTTCTTGCTTTCTACAAACTTGGTAACCTTGAAAGATGAATTAGATTTAGATTGGAGGGTCAAAAGGCATTTTAGGTGAGAATACTAACATTAGATTTAACATTGGCCCAACAATGAAAACATTTGGAAAGCCTGGTGTCAAGGAAGAAATTCGATTTCAGTGTGCAGTAGTTTCTTTTGAGCATTCCCTGAAGTAGTGATTCACCTGGGATGAAAGCCATGTTTTGGATTCTTTTGAGATTAGGGAAGTACTTAATTGAATATCCTGTCTAAATTGAATAACCTATCATTGTTCTCTGTTTATTGATGTGTAAAGGAAGAATCATAATATAGGCCCAGAAAAGTGAGCAGACTATTTAGTGTTGCTCAGAAAAAAGACCATCCACCATAAAAAAAGGGCAGAGTATAATTATTAGATTTCCTTAATGTAGCATCTTCATCTTACAGATGAAATATAAGTATTTTCTTAATATGGTAATTTAGAAATACACCCCCAGTTGTTTGTTACTTTATTTGATTTCATCAGCATTTGTTAAAGTTTAAAAGTGATTAAGTAAATCTATATTTTATGGATTAAAGGTTGTTACTAAAATAAAGTACAATTACACTATATTGTTTGATCTAAATGATATTATAGTCTACCATGGTTTTGTGTATGGTCAGTAAAAGAACAATTCAGACTAACCTTGATTTTCTTTTAATTAATTTTGTTCTACAGCACGACCAGGAGGGTTTATTGAGCATGGCAAATGCAGGCTGCAATACAAATGGTTCTCAGTTCTTCATCACAACAGTTCCAACTCCTCATTTGGATGGGAAACATGTGGTATTTGGCCAAGTAATTAAAGGAATGGGTGTGGCAAGAATCCTGGAAAATGTAGAAGTGGAAGGTGAAAAACCTGCCAAAGTAAGTAAAAATTACTCTAGTTGCTATCTTAAAGAAATGTAAGTATTATAAAAGAATGATGATTTGCTGGAAAGTGTTAGGATGACTTTTGGTATAGAAGCCTGAATCTGCCACTTAATTTATTTCAATTTCAACCTTGGTGATTTAAGTCTTCCTGTACTTAGCGAAACTTTGAGTCAACCTGTATACTAGTTCATCATAGCAAGAGGACAGGAAATGAAGAATCCTGTCCAGACTCTGCCATTTAATTAGTGGTTTGGCCTTGATCTTATTAAATTTTTCTTGGCCCGATTCCTCATTCTACATAAATTACTTAAGGGTTTAGACAAGATTACATAACTCTAAAGATTCTTGTGTTCTAAGTCTGTGGATCAATGGCCATAGTACTACCCAACCCAATTGGTAGGGTTGTGAGAATTGGAAGCTCTGATACCTGTAGGAGGTATGCTGTCACTCAAAAGTAGTAAATTGAAAGCAGTGCCCCTCCTAAAGAAAATTATACGGAGAATGATAAAATTTTCAGTTCTTTTTGTGTACACTGAGGTGCTGAATAGCAATAAAAGACTTTTATAAAATAGTGACATTGTTCTATTACTTGGAATATTTATAAAGGGCATTTAATAATTAGAGCAGATAGGTGACCTCTTAAAGTCAGTCTGTCATTTTAGAAGTGACTTGGACCATGTTGCACATAATTTGTAGCTATATAGCTTTTAAAACCAGACTTTTTTTTTTTTTTTAAATATCGTTAATATGTTAGTGCACTTCTACAATTTAGGATTATTTTTACAGTTGTGCGTTATTGCAGAATGTGGAGAACTGAAGGAAGGGGATGACTGGGGAATATTCCCAAAAGATGGTTCTGGTGATAATCATCCAGATTTCCCCGAGGATGCAGATATAGATTTAAAAGATGTGAGTATTTTCAATTAGTCCAACTTAATTAAAATTACTAAAAATATTTAGTACTAAAATTTTGAGATATTTGTGTCAACCCGTCTTAATGATAGAAGCCAGCATTAAACCACATTACTTACTAAAATCCAACATATTTGTATTCTTTTATACAGGTAGATAAAATATTATTAATAACAGAAGATTTAAAAAACATTGGAAATACTTTTTTCAAATCCCAGAACTGGGAGATGGCCATTAAAAAGTATACAAAGGTTTTAAGGTAATAACATTTTTAATAAATTGCTTTTAAGAACTTGTAAGTTGAATTGTAAACTGAAATTCAAGAGCTTATTGTATTTTTGGCAGATTATTTGTAATTACCAGATGTGTTGAAATAGCTGCATTTTTTTGTTGCCTCCAGCTTATTTTGAAAAATTTCCAAATACAGAAAAGTTGAAATAGTACATGAATGAATGCTCATGTACCTTCACCTATGTTCACTAGTTAATTTTTACTGTTTGTTTTTGAAGAATCATTTTTTAAGAGGAAGTTGCTGATACCATGATACTTCTACCCCTGAATATTTGTTATTATAACCTAAGAAACAAACATTCTTCTACATAACCTTACTACCATTAAAATAGCATTCATACAATATTACCTAATATGTAATCCACATTCAAATTTCCCCAATTGTTTAAATATTTTACTCCAAAGTCAATTGTATCATTTGGTTTTATGTCTCTAGTTTATTCATATTTAATAGTTCCTATTCTACAAATTAGTTATCTCTTATACTTTGTAGAGTCTTAAGTAGGATGTCTTATACAATGCCATCTGTTCGATTGCTTCCTCAAGGTTGGGTTGAGGATAAATATTTTGGCAAGAGGACTTAACTAGGTGATGTATATTTTCTATGACATCACACATATTGAAAGCACATGTCAGTTTTGAGTTTTGGCACTTGATTAAAGTGATGTCGGCTATAAAAATGCCCTTTCCCCTTTCTAAGTAGTAAGTACTCTGAGGTGATACTGTGAGATTGTGTGCATATTCAGTTTCTAACATTGCATCCAGCAGTTTTACATCGAAGATCCTTGCCTAATCAGTTATTGCCTTGATGATTGCAAAATTGTGATTTTTTTACTTTTATCACTTATTCTATAGTTATTATAAGCTGGCATTCTTCTGTTTGAAAGAACCTTTCCTCTCCCCCCTTTCTTTCTTTCTTTTTTTTTTTTTTTTTTAAATATATTTTATTGATTTTTCACAGAGAGGAAGAGAGAGGGACAGAGAGCTAGAAACATCGATGAGAGAGAGTCATCGACCAGCTGCCTCTTGCACACCCCCTACCGGGGATGTGCCCGCAACCAAGGTACATGCCCTTGACCGGAATCGAACCCGGGACCCCTCAGTCCGCAAGCCGACGCTCCATCCACTGAGCCAAACTGGTGCTGGCTCCTCTCCCCCCTTTCAGTGATACCTATAGTGATATAGGTATCACTATAAACCTGTGGATTTTTCTCAGGTTTTACTATAATTTATTTTGAAGCCCAAAGGGTTCCATATTTTTCTAGTGGAAGCCACCTTTTCTACATCCTTTTGACATATTTCTCTTAGTCTGTGATCACTTGGCTTACTTTCTTGGAACAAGATGTTCCAGGCTCATTTTTATATTTAACCTGTTTCCAGATTGGGTATCAGCAATTTCTCCAAGGAGCGCTGATTCTTTTTAGTGGGGAATAGACTTTAAAGAACAAATTCTGGGGACCAGGTATACTTATTGTTTCTGAGTCCTTAGTAGACAGAGCTAGGAACTGTATTAAATGACAATTCAAAACCAACACGATAGGGTTTTTCACCTTTTCCATTCCATTCCCCGTGACACAATGAAAACCTTGCTTCTCAAAAGTACATAATAGAGACCTGGTTTTTAAAAATAGAAAGTGTTAATAGTGCACAATTATCTTTAGATATGGGAATTATCCTTAAGTTGGCCTGTTTGAACAATTTGGAAAAAAGTTGTAACAAATAAAAATAAATTATCTGAAGAAAAAAGGATTTAAGAGATAATGAATATTAAGAATATTGATATTAGCATGTGATAGGCTTTTTATATCAGAAATAACCTAACATTTTTTGGCATAGTTGAAGAAGCAGAATATGCCTTATGCTAGCTTTACATTGTACTTTTATTAATGTATTCTCCAGATATGTGGAAGGTTCAAAAGCTGTTACTGAGAAAGCAGATACATTGAAGCTGCAACCTGTGGCTTTAAGTTGCATGCTGAATATTGGTGCTTGTAAACTAAAGATGTCAAATTGGCAGGGAGCAGTTGACAGTTGTTTGGAGGTAAGTCTGTTTGCTGTTGAACTTTTTGACAGGGTTGGTTTATGATTTATGAGCATGAACAAAACAATTTTATATACTTTTAACTAGAGGCCAATGCATGAAATTCCTGCAAGAGTAGGCCTTCTGTCTCCTAGCTGCCAGCCTCGGCTTCCCTTCAGCACCTGGGATCTGGGCTTCCCTTGCAGCCCCAGCTTCCTCCTGAAGGGCGACCAGTCTAATTAGCAATTTACACTTTTACTATTATAGATGCAGGTTCGGGCCAAAACTGGCTCTCCAACATTCCCCGAGGGGACCCAGATTGGGAGAGGGTGAGGAACCCCAGTGATACATGATCAGGGTCAGGGAGGGTCATGGGAGGTTGGCCAGCCAGGGAGGGCTCCAGGGCAAGTCTGGCCCATCTTGCACAGTCCCAATTGGCTGAACCCCAGCAGCAAGCTAACCTACCGGTAGAAGCATCTGCCCCCTGGTGCATGTCATAGTGACTGGTCTACTGGTCAGCTGTCTGCCCCCTGGTGGTCAGTGCACATCATAGCGAGTGTTTGAGTATCCTTAGCATATCATTAGCATATTACGCTTTGATTGGTTCAATGGACAATCAGATACTTAGCATATTAAGCTTTTATTATATAGGACATATCATTGCATAGGACCTGATGAGACTTGATAAAACATGTCTTTCATCTCTTAAATATTTTGGACATCAGTTTTTCTTTCAATCCATTTACTTAGCTTATTAGGTTACTTAATATTTATTAATATACTTTTCCTTTTTCCCTCAAAGCACATGTATCAGCTCACTTGTTCATTTAACATATTGAACACCTGTTATATGCTAAGTATTGAAAGACAAAGCCAGGAATGACTAAGAATATGGGTTATGGATTAGGTCAGACATAGATTTTTTTAATTAGACCTCTCACCAACTTTGTGATCTTGGTTAAGTTCCTAATTTAAAAGTCTTCTTTATATGTAAAGAGGAGATAATACTTGCCTCATGGGTTTGTTATAAGGATTATATAACATTAGAGGCCTGGTGCATGAAATTCATGCATGGATAGGATCCTTAGGCCTAGCTGGCAATCAGGGCTGATGGGCCCTTCCTTTATTCTGTGCTGTCCCCTGGTGGTCAGTGCATGTCATAGTGATCAATCAAACTCCCAAGGGACAATTTGCATATTAAGCTTTTATATATAGATATGTAAAGCATATAACAGTGTTGGGCACACGTTAAGCACTTTTATGGAGACATCCAGGAATACTAACAGCAAAAGCTAGAAAGGTAAAAGCATACCTTACTTAAACACAATTATGCTGAAACCAGTTTGGCTCAGTGGATAGAGCATCAGCCTGCGGACTAAAAGGTCCCGGGTTCGATTCCGGTCAAGGGCATGTACCTTGGTTGCGGGCACGTACCTGGTGGGGGGTGTGCAAGAGGCAGCTGATCGATGATTCTCTCTCATCGATGTTTCTAGCTCTCTATCCCTCTCTCTTCCTCTCTGTAAAAAAAAAAAATCAATAAAATATATTAAAAAACAAAACAAAACACAATTATAACTTTCTTCCTAGTTTAGAGCTGAAAATTTTTCCATACTAAACCATGTATTTTAGAAAGGCCACCTCCAATAATTTTAATGTGTATTGCACATTCTGCACATAGGCCAGTTATGTCCACAGCAAGGAGAAATAAAATGTGATCCTAATTTGGTAGGGTAGGTAGAATAGAGATAAGAATATACTTAGAATGGAGTATATAACAGGAAAAGATTAATCTTCACCAATCATCTGGATCTCTTTTTGACCTTTGTGAGGCAGATAATGTACCCGTTTCAGTAAATCTAAGTACTGATCTTTAAAAGATGTTAAGTATAAAAATATTTTTAAAACATTTATTTCAGCATAGAGATCTCTTGGAAGAGGCACCTCTCTAGACCTCTGGCTGAGGTCCAGACTCTTTGGAGAGGGAATGTCCACGGCTTTTGTGTAGCAGAGGCAGTCATGGAGCACCACACTTGTGCGACTCACTGGAGTGCTTGGGGAACTTGCTGTGGAGCGTTGCTTTATGCTACTGACCAAACTCTGCAGGAGCCTAATAAGAGGAGCACATTGGAACCTGGAAGAGAAATTGGCTTTCTCTTCTATGTCCATATAGAGCCCTCTCCTGATAAAACAACATTGTGCTAGCTGGCAGAAGAGAGATTTTTAGGGTTAATTTCCTTCACAGAGCAGTGAAGGGTTGATTTGGAACTGATAGGCAATACATTTAAATCTATATAATACTTAATATAAAGTATTAATTTGATTCTTTTTAGGCTCTTGAAATAGATCCATCAAATACCAAAGCACTGTACCGTAGAGCTCAAGGGTGGCAAGGATTGAAGGAATACGACCAAGCATTGGTAAAATTTTGTCCTAAATTTCATTTTAAAAATATAGACAACCACCTTCATAAATTATATACTAATATTTCCCTAAAAACTTTTCCAATTAAAGGCTGATCTTAAGAAAGCTCAGGAGATAGCACCAGAAGATAAAGGTAAGTTGGCAGTTTTTGCAATGAAAGTTCACTTTGTTCTTTAAGAATTTCTCTTCATGAAACACTGTACAGTTTGCCACTTAGATATTTATTCCACAGATATTACAGAATGCCTGTCATTGGGCCAGGCACTGATCATACTACATTGAGTAAGTCAGGGTCCCTGCTCTCAGAGAGCTTACATTCTAGTCCTTCTACAGAATACTATCTTCACATATCTGAATACCATTTGTCCTACTGTATCATTTGAAATCTAGTTCCTATTAGTTTAATTCTTGTCAAAAGTACCAAATGAGTATTATGGTGAATTTAATGTTTAGGACCATTCCTTAAGCTGAATGTGGCCATAACCTAAATATTCTAGCTAATAAACTAATAGAAAATCTTTTTGATGCCGTGACAAAAATAAGTCAAATACTGTAACTACTAATAGTGATCCTACATCAAGATACTAAAATATACCTTTGGCTTCTTTAATACTAAAGTAAAATAGGCACTTCTCTAAATGGAGAAGGCAAATCTGTATAATTCAATTTGAATTCTCTCAATAGTCAGTTTTCTAAAATTATGCTTTGTGATTATGTAGTTGTGATTGATTTCTCGGTATACATTATTCTATTAATAGAGCAAGAAAAATTTCAGTAAGGGGAAGTTAACTGTCATACTAAAACATCAGTTTGTTGGTAAACCTAATTTTTGGATGTTTGAAAACTAACTCCTATTACATATTTATTTTGCAGCTATCCAGGCAGAATTGCTGAAAGTCAAACAAAAGATAAAGGCACAGAAAGATAAAGAGAAGGCAGCATATGCAAAAATGTTTGCTTAATAAGGAATTGGGTTATGCTTAAATATTACACATTGATGTATAAAGGCAATAAGAAAATTTAAGGTATTTTGTCTGTTAAATATGATCCCTAATGTGTTTCCTTTGATACTTCAGTTTCCCATTGTTTACAGTTTAGAAATACTGATACCGGTTCACTCTTAATAAAAGTATTACAAAGTACAGTGAAGTTGACCCCATCCCTCGGGCTATCTGTATTACAAAGAATAATGGTGTTCAACCTATTTTTAAACTAAAGATCCATCTTGTTGAATAAACAGGTGAAAGCTTAAATTTGTGTTATTTCCCTCAATTCTTTGATATAGCTTTTTGTAAACTGGTTGGTTTGTGTTGGTATTTTATACTCACAGGTCCAGGTAGTAAATTTTTAGGACCATTGTATTCTGTCACAATTACTTATTTCTGCAAGGGGCATGGCATGGCTATGTTCTAAGAAAACTAAGAAAAGTGGTGGGCTAGATGCCAACCTCTGCTCTAAAGTATACATTTATTTTTATACTTGAAGTTTTGAATTTGGCAAGTCACATTTACATGAAAGGCCAATAGTTTATTCTGCTGTTGGTAATGAATCTTTGAAGAATTGAAGAAGTAAGTAAATGCTACATCACTAATAAAGTTTTACTTGAGATAAATAGACAGTTTTTTATGAGACAAATTTAGGTATAGTATAAAATTTCTATTTCCCTGATATTTTATGAACATTCTGATCAGCAATATGCTAAAAGATATGTTGACACTTGCTAACTTCTCAACATTTTAAAGTTAGCTTACCATACATTTTAGAGAAAGTGTTTATCAGACTTGCCTGCAAATGAAATCAGTTATAGTTTACATTCCATTGTAAGCAGGTCCTCCACCACCTTCGGGTACCACCCAGTTAATATTCTGACTTGGATCTTTAATATCACATGTTTTACAATGCACACAGTTCTGAGCATTTATCTGTAATCGAAATCCATCACCTTGTTCCAAAGGTACAAATTCATAAACTCCTGTAAGGAGAAATAGTATTGTTAAGTTCCTAACTTTTGAACTTTCAAAATTCAAAAATAGATATTAAAGTCCTGGAATAGTAGTTAGAGAAACATTGAAAGTTTATTTTCAGAATGTTTACCCATAGAGCATATTACAAAGATCTTGGCTGCTTCTGAGTTACAATTCTGTATATATAATGTGCTATATGCTGCTTAGCTGAAAAAAACAAGAGAGCCAGTTTTAACCCTGTTTATAACCTGGTATTATGACAGAAATGATGAAAATAATAAAGTCAAAAGACAAAGTCCCTGCCCTCAAAGTGTCATTCTAGTCCCTCTCCACAGGGTACTAATTTTTACACAGCTGAGCACTATTTTAGTGTATCATTTGAGACTCAGTTACCATTTTATAATTCTAGTTGAAAACTCAGCACTAAAAGAGTATTCATGATAAATTTCAAATTTGGGACCATTTTCTTGAGCTGAATGTGGCTATAGCTTGTATTTTAGCATTTATACATACACTGTCCGTGAGTGTGTATGTGCGTGTGCGTAACCATAACAAATTGTTTTCAAAGTTATGTGCATATGGAAAGAGGTATTCTTTGGTATTCTGTGGGCCTTACCTTCGACAAGGGTAGACACAGAAAGACCTCTTGAGAAATGTCCTCTGAATTAGGCTTCAAAAGAAATCCCTATTATTTTAACATTGCTAGAGTAAGAACCATAAAATAATATTTTCTAAAGAAAGCTGGATATAGGAGTCATTTATAATTTCCAAGCAATGGAAACATATTTCTTACATATTTAAAGCAAATAGGAATGAATGGAAATACAGTACTGACCTGCAGGGCAGAAGCGCTGCTCAGGCCCATCATATATCGCCAGATTTCTATTTACAGGTACACTGTCATCCTTTAAGGTTAAATGTGCTGGTTGGTCATGTTCATGATTAGTACCACTCAGAGCCACAGATGACAAAAGGTCAAAACTAATCTGTCCATCAGGTTTCGGATACTCAATAGGTGTGCAATCCTTGGCTGGCTTGAGCCGATCAGAGTCAGCACCTTCAAAAGTTTTGAGGAAGATTTTAAATATACAACACTAATTTTAAAGTACTTTAAAAAGCACTTTTATAAAACTTGAAAATATACCAAAGAAATAAGACTATACTCATAATGATATACTGTTCACTTAGATTGAATTCCATCCATGAGTTTTTAATGATTCTAACACACTCAAATATGTTGTAATTACCTTTATGTTTTAGAGTCCATGGTTCCATTCCCCTAAATATCCAGTAAAAGATTCCAGTGTAAATCATTCCTCCATATAAACCCAGGAATCCATGGCAGGACGGTCTTATATTCCTAACAGAATATAGCTCTTTCCACACCCATGATTTCTTCAAATTGTCCTCATACTCTGTTACCTGGAGTCCTTTATTAAAAATATGAAATGTTAAGTCTGAAATTGCCTCAAGGAGTATAAAGTACGTTAATCAAGGTATTTTTAAACTTCTGACGAGTGAATCTTAAATTTAAAAAACAGGTGGTCACAAGACCACACGAAGATTGTTTCTTATAAATGTTGGCAGCGTCTAAATTTGATTTCTTATACTGGTAGCATGTTAAGTTTTAAAAGTGGAGAACCTGAAAAGGAAGCTCAAGATAAAGTTTATGCTTCCTATAAAAGTAAAAAAAAAGTTATAAGTGATCAATGAAATACTACTGTTATGGGTTGAATTGTGTCTCCCCAAAAAAGGTGTTTTAAAGTCCAAATCTCCCAATATTTAAGAATGGGTCAGAATGGGGTTGTTGCAGATGTAATAGTTAAGATGAGGTCATATTGGAGTAGAGGGAGCTCTTGATCCAGACTGGGGTCCTTATGGGGGATAGACGAGCAGAAGATAGGTAAAGATGGAGGCAGGGATTGGAGTTAATTCTATCACAAACCAAGTGAATGCCCGAGGCTTTCAGAAGCTTGGGAGGCAAGAAAGGATTCACCCAGAGACTACACAGAGAGAAGGTCCTGCCAACACCTTAGTTTCAAACTGCTAGCCTGTAAAAGTCAAATTTCCTGTTGTTTTAAGCCACCCAGTTTGTGGTATTTCGTTGTGGCAGCTCTAAGAAATTACAATACCTAAAACTTGGTGCATGCATTTAATACTTAATGGGACAAAATGATTCTTATTAAATGTTTGTGAGTTACAGAATGACTATTTTTTAAATGTTTTTATTGATTTCAGAGAGAAGGAAAGAGAGAAAGTTCAATGATGAGAATCATTGATCGACTGCCTCCTGAAAGCCCTCTACTGGGGATTGAGCCCATGACCTGGCATGTGCCCTGACCCAGAATCAAACCGTGATCTCCTGGTTCATAGGTCGATGCTCAACTCCTCCACACCAGCTAGACAGTGACTATGTTCTTTCCAGTAATAATTTCCAGTCATTATTCCCAGTCTGGATTGGATGTACTTGCTCCAGTACTTTCTATGTGTGGTATTATGCTTACATGACAAGTTGGTCCAAAAAGGAAAGATAATTGGCAAGAAAATTAGAAAAATGTTCCATTACTCAACCATCACACTTCACCTTGCTGTTTCTGTTCTACTTTTCTTCTCCCACACCCTAGGCCTCCTTTCCTACTAGGATTTGAAGGTATAATCAGGTTTTCCTTTCACGAGGCAGGAGACAAAGACAAAGTGGATAAATTATGTAGTGTATCAAAGGTGGAAAAAATTATAGAAAACTTTGTGTGGGGTGGGGGTGTTGAGAGTGCTGTGTGTTGAAAATCAATTGGGTTCACTGAGAGTGGTATTTAATTAAAGTGTAGGAAGTGAGGGAGTTGGCCATGAGAGAAGGAAGCATGCTTGACATGTTCTTGTCAGTGAGGAAGCCCATGTGCCTGGAACAAAAGTAAAAAGGTTAAGTCAGAGAGTGAGGGAACTTTGGCTTTTATTCTGAGAAAAGTGGAGAATCATTAGAAGGTCTTTTTAGACTAAGGGTTCACTGAGGCCTAAGTGCTAGCAGTTCCTCTCCACCGCAGTAGAAGTACCATCAATGCGGTGCTTGCCACCCCTGCCAAGGATGGTGCTGGATTCTGTAGTTTGCACAGCTCTCCTGTTTTCAGACAAGACACTTTGGTATATGTGAGGTATCTTACTGTGTATGTTATATGTATGTAATGTAATGCAGTACTCTCCAACTTGACATCAATGTTTCAATGAAAACCTAATTTCTGTACTTTAAATAAATAGGAAGTTCTTACCTATCGTCTTTGATTGGAGATTTTCATTAGTTATTTGATTAAAAATAGATTCTGCTGCCAAAACTCCACTTTTCATTGCTGTGTGAGTACCTTTAATCTTGGGAACATTCATGAAACCAGGACTACAACCAATTAATAAGCCACCAGGAAAGGTGAGTTTTGGTATAGACTAAGGAAAGAAACATTTAAAGTGTACTGTTAGCTCAAATTAAACATGCAAAACTGACCACTCCACATTATAGCCTCTTAAATAAGTTTAAAGATGTAGAAAAAAATTTCTTTAAAAAAGAAGAAAATGAATATACTGAAGGGGGGAAAAAAAACCCAACAAAAACAACAGAGCAAAGGCAGTGTTTTCCCCTCCCCAATGAGTTAAGATTAGAATTATTACCATATTTTCTATTACAAAAATTTTCCTTCTCCCTTCCCATGAACCTATATGAAGCAGACATAAGACCAGAGGGTTAACATTTAAATAAAATGTTTTCATGTACACTTATGTTATAGTGAAAAATATTCCCTAAACCTGGATGACTATTATCTAACTTGTGATCTGCTTTTATATTATGGTAACATGATATACAAAGGACAGTACCTTACCTCTGTATACACTTTTTATTTTATTTTGATATCTAGCAATGGAAATATAGGTTCTAATCATGGCATCACAATTAGCTATTACCTTAAATAACATTTTAATTAACTTGAATAAGTTGAATTTCCCCCAAAAAATGTTGAGTTACTTGTTTGGACCTCAATATACATTACTGATAAAGAATAATGTAATAAAGGCTGGTGATATTTATGTGTTAGCCAATAAAAGCCTATAATGTGGCACCTAAGTTAACAGGTCGTTTGCATGGGAAAATGTATTATAATCTATAGTTTGAAAAGGAAAGGAGAGAGGCAAGACAAGAGTTGTTCATTCCTCCTGCATTTTTTCTTCTCTGTGGGTTTCCTAAAGGAAGCCATGGTCTTTGTTGAGAAAGTGGTAGGTGGTAAAGTTTGGCTGATGGTACTGAAAGCGACACAGAGGACAGATAATGGGGAAACAACTGCCATCAGCTCCAGGAAGACATGATGACCAATCTGGCCATAGGCCCCTTTAATTAGAAAATTCTAACTATAAGGGAAAGGTGGTGAGAAGCAAATTGAGGTAGAAGAATGCTGATAAAAGGACCCCATCCTTTTATAGTACATGGGCATGAATTTATGACTGTAGTTCTCTTGGACCAAACGCAAGAGCATCACATCAGGGTCACAGAGCAGACAGTATAAGTAAAGGACTTTCTGGAATGCCATTAGCTAAAACCAGATAATGGTTAAAAACTTGGATAATGACAGCACTTCTCAAGGCCGTGATCTTGTTAACACTAAATTTGATTCAAGAACTAGAAGAGAGGATGTAGATTATTAGTGCAAGTTCTTCCAAATTGGTGCTTAAATCCTAAGAATAAATATGGGATGGCACAATGAAGATGTGTTTTTAAGTTCTGGGAGAATCCCCTGTGTGAACAGGGTTACAGGCACTGTGCATTTTGTTAAGGAACTGGGTTGACCAATGATTGAGCCTGGTCAGGGCACATGCCCAGGTTGCAACGTGAGCTCAAATCCCAGTAAGGGGCATACTGGGACAAGGAAAAGTTCACTTAGAAATGCTGTATTTTGGAACATTCAGTAAACTAGGGCTACAAATAATTAGAAACCTATCTGAAAAAGGTGAGTTCTGGGTATAGACTGAAGGACAATAAAAATAGTCATGTAATATTTGTTAGATCAATAAAAATTAAACAATGTTCCAAATTATTGCTTTTATGGTCTTTAAAACTAACTGAAAATAAGTTTCTGAAACTTAATTAAATTGGACTATTTAAATTGGAAAATTTAAGTACAAAGTTTAGGTTTTTTCCTAAAAACCATCTGAGATGTTGAAGCACACAAAGCAGATGTTTTAAAATGAGGATGTGCATGTGCTATTGAATATAACAAAACCTAGAATTTGCCTTGGGATTTCCTGGCAGCTAAAGAATAAAAGGCCCAACTGGTGTGGCTCAGTGGTTGAGCCCGGGCAGGGCACGTGCCCAGGTTCCGTTGTGAGCTCCATCCCCAGAGGGGGGCACGTGGAAGGCAGCCAGTCAATGATTCTCATTATTAATGTTTCTATCTCTTCCTCGCCTTCTCTGATAGAAAAAATATATATTAAAAAACAATATAAAGAAAAATACCTTGGGTCACATATTTTTACTTTTCTGGTTAAAAAGCAAAGCCAGTTAAGTCAACATATTTTTTAAATTCATGGTGTAATTTATTTAACTAGTGTAACAGAGTCTTATAAATACTAGGAGACTTGATGAATTACCTAAATTTTTCCCCATGAAGTGATTTTCTATTCTTAAATTTATAACATATTTTTAATGTTGAATTTATAATTCATAAATAAAGAATAAAAAAGTTGGGAGACTTACCTGAAAGCCACCTTCATTGAGAGCTCTGGCTCCATACGCAATCCTTTTTCCACCTTCCAATGTTGGCTGAATGCTAGGATGGTGTTTCCACCTCTGGAACTCTCTAAACGGACTCAGGTATGGATTTTGATAGTCCAGACCAACCTTAAAATTTTTATAATTAAATTTGATATCTTTATGCAACTAGACATTTTTATTTCAAATTATATCAAGCTAAAATGTGAGCAATTTTTATCAGAAAACATGTACATTAAATTTATTATACTCAAAGTACTTAGAGAAATATATATAGTAACCTAAATTTAAATAAATAACTAAATAAAATGTTTGTAAAAGAAAGGGTAAACAAAAGAATACCTTGTGTTAATAATCATAAAACTTTAAATATTTGTAATATATCAATAAATCACTGTGCTCTACATATCAAAGTCCATATTAGAAAAATATGGCAAGTGTCCCTCACATTGTGTCTATAAAGGGAATTGTAATAATTATTCAGTTATCAATACCAACTCTACAAATAAATAAGCTATATGCAGTACTACTGAGGCAAAAATGAGCAGGGTGTATTCATACTTAGAAAAAAGAGGACAAGAAATTTTAAAGGTTACATTTTAAAGGCATTACTGTAGTGCTGAAATTAATAACCACACCTTTTTTTTTGCTTTGAAAAGATTAAGTCCCTAGAATAACTATGCAAAGGTGATGCTACTGAAACTTGTCTGGATTTCAAAAAGCACAAAGTTTAACAATGGTTCATATGCAGGTTTAATCATGACATTAAACAATAAACTTCCACCAATTCCAAGGTGCAGAAATTCATTATTTTTCTTTATAAGTGGTATAAGTGGCTAAAAGGGAGAAAATGCTTATGTTTTTAAAAAGTTATAAGTTCAAACCCAGTGCTAACTAAATTTTCAGGGGCAGCATGCCATAATGGAAATGGGCTTTGAAAATAGTAACTGCCTCTGTCATTTAACAGATGTATTTGGGAAAGTTGTTTAACTTGTTTAGACTTCTCATCAGTAAAGAAGGCTATATCTACTTCATAGGATTTTATGAGTTCTCAGTGAAATATCTAGCAGTGCTTGACACAGAATAGCTCCTATTAGTAAAGCTATGTGTGTTAGACTAATGTCTCTAATAACCATAAGTACTTTACATGCTGATTACATTAGAACATAAGCTTTAAGTAAAGCATTTTGCATTCTTCAGATTCAAAACCCTTGTTTTATAACCTTATGATCCAGTGACTAACAGAACTTTCCACAATGGGCATATAACTTACCACAAAACCAAGAGCCACCAGGGGTTCCCCTTCATTTAAATGGTAAAGGAAAGAGCCTCCATAAGTGTGTCTGTCCAAGGGCCAGCCAACAGTGTGATCTACTCTCCCAGGTTTCCACTTCTTTTCATCAATAAGCCATAGCTTTAAAAAAAAAGTCCTGGAGTATTATTTAAATTTTTTATATCACTACAATGTATAAAACTTGCCAGGTTTGTCTTATTTATGAAAATTACAAGTAAAAAACTTTAACAAGAGAAACATTAAAAAAAAGTACTTTAAATGTCAAAGAAAATGATACCAAACTGCAGCATGATGAATCAGAGTAAAGAGAAAGGTCAGAAATGTTATGAACACTTTTAGACATTAAGATATTCAAATCAATAAGACTTTCATACAATTCTAGGAAACACCTCAGAAGAGATGAGGGAAACTTTTAGGGTTTTGGAAATATTCTAAATCTTAATCTGGGTGGCAGTAACATGGATGTATTAACCTTATAAAAATTAACTGAACTGTACACTTAAGATCTGGTACTGTACACTCTGTTACTCTTCAATAAAATACTTTACCCTTTTTTGCACAGCCCCCTCCTCAAATTAAGCAAATTATTCATCCTAGTTTTAGAATGGTAAATTTAAATTTTAAACAATTTCCATCTAAGATATTGTCTAAAAAGCAGGTAATATTTGCAATTTACCAAAAACAATTAAACTCTTATTTACAATATAATGAATCTAGTTATATACAGAATTAAACCTTTCTGAGCTTTACCCCCTAAAAATAAACAAAAGGATTTTATATTCTAACTAGAGGCCAATGCACAAAATTCGTTCAAGAGTAGGCCTTCCTTCCCTTGGCTGCTGGCACCACCTTGCCTCTGGCACCCGGGACCAGGCCGCCTGCCTCTCTGGTCGCCTGCAGGTACCCGGGACCCGGGCTTCCCTGGCAGCCCTGGCTTCATCCAAAAGGATGTCCGGAAGGAAATTCGGTCTAATTAGCATATTATGCTTTTATTATTATAGGTTATTATAATTTACCTAAAGCTTGAAAAAATAGTCTAGCAACTGGATAAATTGAGAAAAATACAACACTTAACCTAGCTAAATTTTAGGTTTCATGTCAATATACCATGATTGAATGTAAGTTTCATAAACAAAGTTATCTTCAGATTACAATTTTGAATGAACAATTCTTATAGGATGTGGTCATCCTATAACTAGCATATGAATAGCAGGTTTAATACTATTATGGGAGATGACATTACAATAAAAAATGTTACAAATATTTTCAAGATCAAGACTTCTTTCAGCAATATTTGATAAAATAATTACAACATATAGATGAAATTCATATAATAATAAATTTTGATTGTAATATTTTCTAGACCTTTGAAAAATATCCCAAATATTTTCAGTCATACCATTTCAAGTCAATGGAAAATAGAACTGTAAAAATAAATCAGCATTATAATACAATGAATTTAAAGTTCCATATTTCAACATAAGAATTACAAAAACAAGCCAGGATACCTCCTTCAGTCCAATTCCATAGGTTTGGGGTTCACAATTGGCCCTCAAATCAAACTTCTTATATAGTTGCTTAGCTAGATGTCCATGGCAACCCTCTGCAAAAACTGTAACTTTGGCATGTAGTTCTAGTCCTCTCTCAAATGTAGTCTAGAAAATAAAAATATGTTAAATTGCAACATTTGATAATTTAAAAAATATTCATATTCTGGTCAGTTTTGAATTGAACTATGAGTCAGGTATACAGAGACAACACACATATATTAGAAGTAAAATTAAGTACTGTTATAAGAATATAATTTAAATTTAATATTTTGTGTCTGTGATATTTTTCTATTTTACTTCAAAAGTACTTGATTGGGCAGTTAAGTTTGTAATAATTAAAGTTTATAAGAATTAAAACAGCAAATAAAGCACTTTTGCCTCTCCCCCAAGTTCTCCATAAACAAATACAAAGCGAAAGGGAAGGCCATTTCCCCACTGTTCCTGACTTCCCAGTCCCATCATTTGAAGCAAAAAATAAAAGTTTTCATGAGAAATTTTCATGGCAGAAAATTTCCATGAATAAAAAAGTCTATTTATATCCTTCTAAGGCAAATAGGATCATCCTATCTAATAAAGGAGGATATGCTGATTGATTGTCCCACCTTCAAAGATGGTGGCACCCACAGCCAATAAGGAGGGAATATGATAATTGACTGCCATGTCCTCAAAGATGGTGATGCCATAGCCACAAGATGGTGGCACCCAGTCCCCTCAGCACCAGGGCAGCAGTGTGTAGCAAGCCTAGACCAGCCCCCAGGCGGGCCCTGCCACTCTGAGTGCCTGCCTCTGGAGTCCCCCAGTCTTCTCTGCTCCCCAGCAGCCCAGGGCGGGCCCAAGGCATAGGCAAGCCTTGGATGGTGGCTGCCTGAGGCTCAGGTAACCAGGGCTGGCTGAGCCTTGAGTTGCTGGCAGTGGCAGCAGCAGAGGTGTGATGGGGCATTGCCTTCTACAGATCACCAGGTCACCTCCCTCCCCTGAGGATTCCCGGAGTGTGAGGGGGCAGGCCAGGCTGAAGGACCCCACCTCCTCCATTGCATGAATTTTCATGCATCAGGCCTCAAGTACTAAATATATTCATCTAGTTGCCTTTTTCACTTTAATTTCACTTATTGTGTATTGCTAAATGTATATTTAAAACAAATATGTTTCCCAAGGGGGAGGGAAAAAGCTATGTTTAAAATCTCTTTTGCTCTTACATTTTAGTAGAGGCTCTGTGTACAAATTCATGCATAGGTGGGGTCCATCAGCTTGGCTGGCAATCAGAATGATCATGGTCATCGGGTCATTGGGGCTGGCTGGCTGGCCTGGGGAAGGGACTGCAGAAGGTTGGCCGGCCAGGGGGAAGCACCACAGGAAGTTGGCTGTGTGAATGTACTGACCACCAGGGGGCAGCTCCAGTGTTGAGTGTGTACCCCCTCGTGGTCAGTTCTCATCATAGTGAACGGTCATAATGGTTGCTTAGGCTTTTTTATATATAGACTAGAGGCTCGGTGCATGAAATTTGTGCACAGGGCAGGGGGGATGTCCTTCAGCCTGGCCTGCACCCTCTTCAATCTGAGACATCCCTCTTGCAATCCAGGACCACTGCTCCTACTGCTCACCTGCCTGCCTGCCTGATTGCCTGATTGCCCCTAACCACTTTCCTGCCTACCTGATTGCCCCTAACCTCTTTGCCTGCCTGATCGCCTCTAACAGCCTCTGCCTGATTGCCACATCACCCCTAATCACTTGCCTGCCTACCTGATCACCCCTAACTGCTTGCTACAGGGCAGGGACAGCCCTGCAAAGGACTGTCTGCCTCCCTGATCACCCCTAACCACTGGCCTACCTACTTGATTGCCCCAACCACTCTGCCTGCCTGCCTGCCTAATCACCCCTAATTGCTTGCTTGGGGGCAGGGCCAGCCTGGCAAGGGGCCATGGTGGTTCTGGTCTAACGGTTGTTATGGCCATGATGCCATTATGGTTTCTGGCCTTGTATTATATAGGATACTTATGTCTAGCACATGGTAGGTACTCAATAAAGTTACTGAATAAAGAAATACAGAATCAGAAAAGTGTCATGAAATATATCATTCCTGATATTTCTCTTCTCTTCACACATATTTGCATATGTGAGTATGCAGACATAGTCACACAAAAAATAGGTTTATACTGACAAGCTGTTTTATAATGGTTTTTGTATTATATCACAATCAGAGGCCTGGTGCACAAAAATTCGTGCAAGAGTAGGCTTTCCTTCCCCTGGCGGCCAGCACTGGCTTCCTTCTAGCATCCGGGACCTAGGCTGCGGGCACTGGCTTCCCTCCTCCCAGCTGTGGGTAGGCACCTGGGACCCGGGCTGGCTTCCCCTGGGCCTCCTGCAGGTACCCAGGATTCAGCTGGTTTCCCTCCGGCCCTAGCTTTGTCAGGAAGGACATCTGGAATGATGTCCAGGAGACATCTGGTCTAATTAGCATATTACCCTTTTATTTTTATAGAAGTGATTTGCCTCAGATAATATATACCAAATAAAGCATTCATTTTTCTCAATAATTAGACATGTAGGTTGTTCCAGTATTTCATTATTGTTATACGTATTGCTCAGATGAATATCCTTGGTGCCAAATATTTTCAGTCTAAATGGTGAGAATTATTTCATTATTAATTTAGTATTTTGGGTTATTAGAGAATTTGAACATCTTTCATATGTTTACTGGTAACGTCTATATTTTCTGGTACAGTGCTTATTCATGTCATATATATGTATACATGTGTATTGTATATGCACATACATCCTATAAATTACTCAGAAACCTTTAATTTTGTTCTTATCTCCTTCCTCTCATTATACCTCACTCATTCATAAACTATATTAACAACCTAGTATGTAAGGTTTTACTCAAATATATATACACATACACATCTGGATATATATATATATATATATATATATATATATATATATATACACACTTAAACTATTGGGGGTTTATTTTACAAACATAGGATCACATAATATAAATTTTTGTGTGTCTTACCTTTCTCACTTAATATTTCCTGGGAATCTTTCAAGTCACTGAATAGCTCAAATCTTTCTCTTTATTGGCTGGTAGTAGTCCATGTGGAAATACCATAGGTTATTCAGCTAGTGGGTGATAGCCATTCACTCAGCTTCCAGTTTATTTGCAACAATAAACAATGTTATAAAACATATACCCTTATGTGTATGTGTATCCTTTTACTATTGATGCTTTTATTCCTGTAAGATAGATTCTCAGGACTGGCACTGTTAGCTCAAAGGGCACACCTATTTTTATTTTATCACATATTGCCAGATTAGACTTCTGAAGAGCCAGAAACAATGAATATTTCCACCAGTAGTAAATAAAAAGACCCTTTTCCCAAGATATAACTGTTCCTTATACATCTTAGCTAAGTGTAGAAATAACTCACTGCTATGTTAATTTGCATCTTCCTGACTACTATTTTCAGCATCTCTTTTTGATTTAAGAAATATTAAATGAACACCTACAATGTTCTAGGTTCTATGTTAGTCATTGGGAATATAGAGATGAATAACAAAAGACATGTCCCTTTCCATTGGGCTAGTCATAGAGGAAGATGACTATGTAAATACCTGAGTATATAAAAAGAAAATATGATTTAATGCTATAAAAGGAAGTAGTGGGTGTTATGAGAGATAAAATAATAGAAGGGAACTATTCTAGATAAGAATGGCCTTTTTGAAGAAATGTCATTTAAGATGTGGACTGAAGAAAAGGTATCTAAGTATCTTTCTGAATGATTAGTGATCACCAGGACTTGCCATTCTGTGAGTTGTCAATTTTTGAGATATTGTCCATTTTTCATTGTGTTGTCTTTTTTTTTTTTAGATGTTTTTATTTAAATTTTATTTTTAATTACAGTTACATTCAATATTATTTTGTATTAAATATAGGTGTATAGATATCTGTTAGATAATTATATACTTTACAAAGTTATCCCCAGATATTTCAAGTACACACTTGTACCATACATAGTGATTATAATACTAGAGGCCTGGTGCATGATTTCGTGCATGGGTGGGGGCCAGCCGGCCCTCCCCAATGGGGTTGATCAGGGCAGGGCCAGCGTGGGGGGGCAGGAGGGGCTGTGGGCTGTGGGCTGGCCTGCCCCGCCTGATTGGGGTGGGAAGGATGGTTGGGGGCAGAGCCTATGGGGGGCGGGGGGGGGGGGAAGGGAGAAGGACCGTGGCAGTTGGCGGCCACAGTGTGCGTCATATCGACCAGTAGTTCCAGTCTCTTGGCTTTTATATATGTAGATTATTGACTGTATCCCCTATGTTGTACTTTACATCCCCATTACTTTTTTTTTTTTTTTTAAATATATTTTATTGATTTTTTACAGAGAGGAAGAGAGAGGGATAGAGAGTTAGAGACATCAATCAGCTGCCTCTTGCACACCTCCTACTGGGGATGTGCCTACAACCAAGATACATGCCCTTGACCGGAATCGAACCTGGGACCTTTCAGTCTACAGGCTGACGATCTATCCGCTGAGCCAAACTGGTTAGGATTCCCATTACTTTTTTAAAAATTTAAATTATTTATTGTTGAAAGTATTATACGTCTCCTTTTCCCCCCATTGACCTCTCCCCAGTCACCCCCGCCCCCCAGCACATGCTCTTGCCTGCCTACTGTCTGTGTTCATTGTTTATGCTTATCTGCATGTACACAAATACTTTGATTGATCACTATCCCCTTCTTTCACCCTCCCCTCTGAGGGTTGAAAGTCTGATCAATGCTTCTATGTTTCTGGATCTACTTTTGTTCAGCAGTTATGTTGTTCATTATATTCCTCAAATGAGTGAGATCATATAATATTGATCTTTCTCCAACTGGCTTATTTCGCTTAGCATAATGCTCGACCTGCGATGGTGGTGGCAGAGGGCAGGACCGGTGCCAGCGGGGGCCCCTGAACGCCCTGCCCGCCAGTCACCCCACAGATGGCCCTGATCAATGGAAAAATATCCTCGGGTGAGGAAAAACAACAACAAAAACAAACAAACACAGCTTTTGAGGCCATAACTAAGAGACATGCCAAGTCTCAAGACCTACCAGATACTGATTTAGCCATTTAAACTACCAGAAGAAGCAATGTAACAGCTAAAACTCAAGAGTTTTGGTATTAGACAGCAAGGCAAGTGATTGCTGTCTATAGAAATGAAAATTGTTCAGGTGACAATGCAGTTGATTGATAACCTACATATATGTATGTTTTTTTTAACACTCTGAGTTGCTTGTAATACCTTACTGATTTCCTCATTAATGAATGAGTGAAATAAAATATTTGACACGTTTGTTTTATATCTTAAATGTTTTTATTGATTTTTAAAAAATTATATTTTTAATAGGTTTTCTTGATTTTTAGAGACAGGAAATGAGAGAGAGAAATATGTATAGGCTGCCTCTCGCAAGCTCCCCACTGGGTATTGAGCCTGTAACCTGGGCATGTGCCCTGATTGGGAAACAAACCGATGACCGTTTGGTGCATGGGATAATACCCAACCAATAGAGCCACATCAGCCAGAGCATGTTTTGATCTTTTAAAAAATTATTCTTAACCATGCTTTATCTACTTATCTAAATGATCTTTAATTCAAAGATGCCTTTATATATTTTTAATGTGAGAAAAATTCCAAATTAATAATTCTATTCTAACATACATTTAACATGCAGTTTGTAGCAAAACTAAATTATTAAGTTTGAATTGACTTTTTTTTTTAATTTTTCAATTTGTTAAGCACATAATTATTAAAACATTTACCTTTGGTGCACCATCCTTTTGTATGCCTACATCGTTAGTGGCAATTCCTTTTATACTACCATCTTCATGAAAAAGGACCTAAAATGAAAACATATTTCATTATCCCTTAGGATTCATAATAACTTAGAAAAAAAACAATAAACAGCCTTAGATGTTTTTTAGAAAGTAAACATGTTCTCTAGATAATAGAAATACATGCTTTAAAACACTCAGGCAAAAGGAAACATGTTCTTAAAATACTGCCTTTGAGAGTATAAAAGAACACAGCTCAAACAGCTGGAAATGAAAGACATGCCACCACCTTGATCAGGAAGAAAATGGGGAAACTATCACAGAGCTCACTAAAACATCAGTAACATGTTTAACCAAACGCTGTTTGAAGAGTTCAGATATCAAAACATGCACTGAACCTGAAATCAAGGCCTGTAACAAATGAAGACCATCAGCATGGATGGAAAGAGAAGAGTGTCAGGAAAGCTTCTGTCCTAGATGAGTGAAGACTCCTTCCCTTTCCATTCCCCCCAAAAGAACTCTCAAATGAAAACATAACAACAAAACAGGTTGACAACAGCCCAAAGCTGATTAAAGTTTATTTCTGGAGCAAGAACAAAGGGGGAAAACTGGTCAAAAGTATACTTCTGAGGATGAGAAATAGGTTACTCTGCTGTTTTTTCCTCTCTGGAGGTAAATGCTCTTTGGATAGGAAAGTACAAAATGTACATTAGAAGCACATATCAGAAAGTACAGGAGTGGAAAGGTAAAATAAGGATTTGCAGCAATGCAAATAAAAAGAAAAAACATTTTATATGATACCTAGAAAATGAATAAACAGAATATAGCTATGAACTAGAACTAAAGTCTGGTTCAGAGTCCCCCCAAAATGATATCCTATTGATAACTAGAGGCCAGGTGCACAAAATTCATGTACTTGCTGGGGGGGGGGGGGAGGGTGTCCCTCAGCTCAGCCTTCACCCTTTCAGTCTGGGGACCCTACGATGGATCGCCCCAAAGAGGTAGGCCCTGCCCACCGGGCCGGGGCTCTACAATGGATCATCATCTTTTGAAAGAATTAACAGAAAAACATTTTCTAGAATGAAGAAGGTAATAGCCCTACTCCACACTAGGCTTAAAGAAGTGTATGCATTCAGGGCGCCACCTTATAAGGGAATAAAAGAGAAATGTATTTAAAAGAGGGCAGTGAAAATACTGAAGGAACTCAAATTATTGACATGATTGAAAGAATTGAGAATATTTAACCTGGGAAAGAAAACCCACAAGAGAAAAGGTAAGGAAGAAGGAAAAGCAGGGAATAATTATAAATGAAAGGTTTCTTTCCAATTGGAAGAGGGCATAGATTTGTTCTATGCAATATAAAATATAAATTTCTATTCAATATGAGAAAGAGTGCATTACCAAAAATCCATTACCAAATGAAAATTTAGAGGTCTTTTCATCTCTGATGGGGTTCAATCATAAGTTGAACCATTATTTGATGTGGGCACAATATAAAGAATTCAAGTACTCTTTGGATTAGATCTTTCTAAGATTCCTTCTAATTTTGCAATTGTAAGATTTTATGACTTTTCCGACATATTTATTTCTTTTCCTCTGTACCATTTTTTATTAAAAAAAACCCCACATCACTTTCTATAAATATTAAACACAAAACAAAAATATACAAACCTCAGCAGCGGCATAACCAGGGTATACTTCAACACCAAGGGCTTCTGCTTGCTCTCCCATCCAGCTTACTAAATGTCCCAAGCGTACAATGTAATTGCCATGATTATTCATTGGAAGACCTATAAGTAAATGCTTACTTTATAAATCTGTCTTTTTATTGATAAAATAAAAAAAAATAAATACTTAATTTAAAAATTCAAATCAATGTATAATTTCTGCATGGTCTCTTATGGTCACAATTTTAATTTCTTTTCTATAATTTTGGTCTAGAACTTTATTAAATTAAAAACAATATTACAGCATTAAATTAAAAATTATAGGTTGGCTTTCAAGACTACCTCAATTCTTCTAGACTGGAAGACAAAATAACTGTGTTCCACTCCTGCTTTCCCATAGCTAGCTGTGTAACTCTGGGTAAGGAACAAATCTCGGGCCTCAGCTTTCTCATATGTAAAAGGACGGAATTTCATCAGATGAAATGTCATTCCTTCTAGCTGTAGAATTCTATAATTCTGTGATTATCATATCTTACCTGGAAGAATTGGCACAGGAATTCTATATTTCTGTGTTAAAATTGCAAACCTATCTTCTGTTACAGGGGTGTTAAGTGGAGCCTAGAAATAAAATATGTTAAGAAAGGGGAGTTTTAGTTCATATTTGTAAGGGTAAATACAAATAAAAACCAAAAATTATATCAAAAAGTAAAGAGACAGCATGGGTGGACCTTGAGAATATTATGCTAAGTGAAATAAGCCAGTCAGAGGAAAGACAAATATCACTTGATCTCACTTATATATAGAATCTCATGAACATAATAAACTAACCAACAAAATAGGTCCAAAGGTATGAATACATGGAACAAAGTGACAAATCTTAAGAGGGGAGGTGGTTCAGGAGATGCAAAGAGAATAACCAAAGAATTTAAATGCATATATGTATAGCACATGGACACAGATAATAGTGTGGTGAAAGCATGGGGTGGAGCAGGGGATGGGTGGAAGGGGATCAGTAGGGAGGAAAAGGGAGACATCTGTAATACTGTCAACAATAAAATATGTATAAATAAAAATTTTACAAGGGAACTACCCTCCTTAATTTTCTTTCATCATTTTCTTTAGAAAATTTGGACTGTTTTTGTCTCTTTGAGATGTATGGGGATCTTTCTTAAACTTAAATAAGCCAGTTTTGCATCCCAGGAATGTCTTTCTTGGGGACCTTGGAGACATCTTTGAAATGTGCACATCCAGGAGGATGGCTTCCTGTCTCCCTGCCTGTGGGAGTTTAGCCTAGGAGCTTGCTCCAAGTGGTAATTTCCTGCTTGACAAAAACATAAGATAAGTTTTATTTTTCTTTTAGAAAAAGATAATTAACAAGTATATAATAGATTGTTTCTGCCTCGCTAGATTGGGCTTTGATTGAAAACCTTTTTCTCTCTATTAGAATTGATATTAGTCAATAATCATTCACTGATATCTATTTCTGACATAATATTGAAAAGAGAAAGTTAGGCATAATTAAAGTTTTTCTACTTTAAAGGAGCTTGATATTTTAGAAAGAACAGCAGAAGTTAAATTTTTGGAATTTAGTTTACTCCACATGGGAAAAATACAGAAATATTTATATAATGTTTTACTTTTACAAAGCATAGTCACAGATACTAAATATCCTAACCTTAAAGGTAGGAGATATATATATATATATATAACATAACCCATATCACATAAGAAAAAACTGAAATATATAGAATATAAAATTTTAACCAAAATCACACCATTACGAGAGCAGTAAAACCAACACTTGGTTCTCTACATATCATACCAGTGCCTTTTTGGCTTAGATATGGGTGATCATGATTCATTGCTTTAGAAAATTAGATTAGATTATCCTCCTTAGCTTTGGATATTGCAATGTCCCAGGAAATTTAGATAACACTACATTAAGAACAATGATATAAACACTTACAAAGTTAGGAAATACCCTCAAAATCAAAATGCTGTGTATATTTTCAGAACAAATATTAAAAGTTCTTCTCAAGAAAATGCCTTCTCATAAACCCAGTTCATAAAGACAACATATAGAGGAATTATACAAAAATGAGTTAATATTTTAAATTTATAACTATATTTGACATAATTGTCGATGATTCTTGCTCCTTTTAAATAAAAAAATCAGTAGTTATCCTTTATCTATTCTTGCTCCTTTTAAATAAAAAATCAATAATTATCCTTTAGAAGATAGAATTACATGAAAAGGGTTTCCATTATTTCAGTAATTTGGAAATAAGGGATTCAATAAAGATTAGACTTTTCATAGAAACCAAATTTTCATACTCCCTTCTCCTTCCAGTCTGGGAATAGTTCTTCAAAGGCACGTGGATCGAGGCAAGCCCCTGAGAGAGTATGAGCTCCTATTTGAGAAGCTTTCTCCACCAGACACACACGGATGTCCTTTTCATGTTGAGCAGCCAACTGCTTTAGCCGAACAGCGGCAGACAGCCCTGCAGGGCCCGCACCAACTATTACTACGTCTGCTTCTTCTGCAAACCTCTCCATGCTCACTCCTGTGAGGAAAAAAAGGTGAAGTACATAAAAAGTCTCAGGCGGCTCTCTAGTTTAACAACTCCATCAGGTGAGTCTCATCATGAGAGAAGTTTGGGAAACACTGCTCTAGAGCATAGTGGGTATTTATAAGCAGGTGATTTAAATTAAATTAATTTAATTTAAATTAAAATTAATTTTACCTATATGTTCCCAAAAATTCTAGTTTAGCACTTCTTAGTTGGGATTCAGGAATCTGTATTTTAACAACTCCACCAGGTGATTCTCATCATGAGAGAAGTCTGGGAAACACTGCTCTAGAGTCTAGAACATTATTATTTTCAGAAAGTGCTCCTCTCCTTTGCATGAGAAGTATACTAAGGATATTACTGTATTAATTTGATGTTCTCTTACTTCTGCTTCCAGTGCATGTTTTATTTTTACTTCCATAAATGAACTTTTGGCTTTGAGATTTATTATTATAAATTTAGCAAATATTTGTTTTTCTAAATATTAATATGTAATTGATTTTATAAATCTACATATTATTATATTTACAGTACCATGAAAAATACTTCTCTCTACAAGTGATACAAAGTATCTATAAAGTCTCAACAATTTTGCATAAATTATTACCTACCTTCCCATCGTTTGTCCTTATCCCGGGGATAAACAGTATAGTGGGTAGTAATTCGAGGTACAACGGAAGTTGAAGTCCATCTTGTAGCACACAGAGGTAGATAATTTTTCTTAATTTTTAAGGCATGAAAGCACTGATATGCTGCACAAAAATTATAAATATAATTATTTTTCCAATTTGCTTTCCTCAGAAACAGACTGAAAAAATATATTTTAAAAATCTTGGATTGAGGATCAGAGATGGTTTCTAGTTGATTTTCTATTAGTCCTAACACCTTAAAAAAATCACTTGATTTGCTTCCTCATCCAAAAAAGTCTGTTTTTGATAATCACTCTTAAGTTGGCAAGTAAACTATTTTTTTCTATTGCAAATGCATATGAAAAATGTTTTATTGGGAATAATCTTTTAAACCTTAAATAATCCTTCACATATCATAAATCTAAAAGAATATATAAGACACAAAGATATTATAGAACTCAGTCCCAGAGTTGAAATATATCAATAGCATAATTTAAAAGAGCATTTAAGAATATTTATATTTTTATTAAAAGACATAGCAACAATCTTAAGTTTTAGTTTAGTGTAGCATTACTGTAGTTTAATGTTTAGTTTTCATCTGCTTCTGAAAACCGATGATTTGATATCAGACAAAATTGTAATGCTACTTGCTTATACAGCTAGTGATTTTCTTGAGAATATTTGGAACTGGGTAGTCTGATATCCCCTGGGGGTTAAAAAAATCATGACCTTTATTCCTTTTCTGAAAACAAATCTGATATTTCACTTTAAAGTGTACACTCAGGCACCTTGGCATGATTTTGGTAGAGAAATGAGCTCAAAAGTCCATTGAACTCATAACGTCACCCTATCAAAGTCACACTGACAGTGCATTTGTGCTTGTCTCTTTGCTGGCAGGAGTAGTAACACTGGGCTGTGAACAGGGTAATGCTTTGAGCATCCGAGGAAAATGGAAATGGTGAATTTGGTGGAATTCTGTTAGCACTTGGCCCAAGAATGACTTCTAACTTCATCTAAATTAGGTAGTAGGGCAGATAGCAGCATCTGACTAGTTTGGCATTAAAAACAAGAACAAAAAAATCCCCACAACGTATCTACACATTAAGTGTAGTAATACATGCGTGAGTAAAATGAACTGGAAACAAAATTTTTCTTAATATACATACAACGGCCAAATTTGACAGAATTCCACTCTAATGAAATGTACATAATAAGAACAACCTTGAAGTTGCAATATGTATACTTGTTGATTCCATGATCGAAAATTCACTTAAATAAGATTTTTTAAAAAATGAAGCCAGATGTGAGAGAATTCAAGATCCTATAGTGAACTTTTTGTCTTAAGTATAACAAAACAAAACACCATCCAAGTGCATCCTTCTACCTTCTTCCTTTTTTTCTTTTTTAAAGTGACAGGAGAGGCAATGTGGTATTTTCACGAGTCACCGTGAGGGTTCTAGGGACACCCCCTAACACGACAAGCCCCCTAGAGTTAATTTTACACAAGGTAGAAAAAAATTCCTGGCCCTCGATATAATGGGGTGACTTGGGCAGCGCCTATGAATGTTAATCACCATGGCGGCAAAGACGCAGCAACTCAGGTCAACACACCCAAGGAGAAAAACTTGTGCAAACATTCTTGTACCCATTCCCAACAATGCAACAGATAAAACACCTGAGCTTTGGGATAAGGGTCCGAGGCAGGATGTGGGACGATTCCCCCGCTCGAGGGTCCACAGGGTGGGGGTGGGGGGGACCGTGTGGATGAGTTCCCCGGGCTCGTGACCTTTACCCTAGTTGTCAATCCCTGGCGTTGGGACAGCCAATCCCGGGAGGATCCGGGGCCCACCACCCGGTGCCGGCGGCGTGACCTCTGAGCCAGGTTTGCCGCAGAAAGCCGAGGAGACCTGGGAGGAGAAGGGTGCCACCCGTCCCCCAGCTGTGACCCTTTTTCCCCCCCGAACCACTCGACCTTCCCCTCCGGATTCCCCTCCGGAAATCCCCTCTCACCGGGGCAAGACAGCTTGGCGAGTGGCACCGACATGTTCGCTGTCATCAGGGCTGTCTGTCGCCGGACACCAGCGGAAGGAGGACGGGCGGGCGCTGGACCTCTAGGCCTCGGGGGGCGCCATTACCTGCCGGGAGGCACCAAGCCCTCTGCTCAAGTCTCCCTGCCTCTCTGCTCAGCCCACCTCTCCTCTCTCTCCCCGGCTTCACGGTGTTCCCGCCTCTCTCCCGTTCTGCGCCGGCGCCATGCGTGACGCAACCGCCAGCCGGGGCTTCCGGGTCGTGTCCCGCGGCCTCTGGTGGTGGTGGTGGTGGATGAAGTCCGTCCAGCCTTCTCCCGAGCCCCATGGTGCACCGCGCCGGCAGCCAAAGGCAGGGAGAGAGGCGAAGCGACGCGCACGGCCTCCTGGGAGTTGTAGTCTTCTGCTGAAGAGCCTGGGAAGCCTGTCAGGAGCATGGCGCTGGAACCGTGCACTGCCCGCCGAGAGTCGACTGACGTCTGATAGGCTGTTCAGGAAGAATGCCGTTTTCGGTATTGGGCAGACGCCCCCTGGAGGCTGGGCGGGATTTCGGGGGAGAGGAGGCGGGGCCTCTGGGCTGAGGGCGCGATCCGTTGAAAGGCGGTTGGTGTCGGTTCGGATTCGTTCCGATTGGGCCGTGCCAGCCGCGCTTCTCCATGGCAGACCCCGAGGGCGCGCGGGTTTCTCCGCAGCCCCCGCCACCTTCCTTCTCCCCCTCGTCTTCTGAAGCCTCTTCCCCCGGCATCCCCGGGAGTTTGGACTGGCCGGTTCGGAGCAGGAGCCCCGCGGCGGACCGGCTGGAGGAAGTGGAGCTGCGGATCGGAGACGTGAGTGGCGGGGACGGTGCCCACCCCGCGCCTGTGGGCGGACAGACCGCGGCGGGGTCGGGGGAGGGGGGGCGAGGGACGGGGGATCCCAACACCCAGAAGGACGGAATCCGCCTTCAGATTTAGCGTTGAGGAACTAGGGGGTATGATGCCTCCCGTATCCCCATCCCTCCGTCTTTTTTTTGCCTCGCCCTCTGGTCTCCATCATCCCTGTAACCCGAAACCGCGCGCTCTGCTGCCAGGACCGGTGCTGGCTCCGGCTGCCCCTCCCTCTTCTCCCCCCTCTTCCCGCCTCGGGATCGGGCTGTGACTTCTCGCTCCGGGGGACCCCAGAGCCGCTGTTCTGCTTGGCCCCCTGCCCAGAGCCAGCTGACCAGGCTATTGTCTTTCTCCAGTCTGCTTTGCGCTGGACCCAGTTTGGAGGGGTTAGTCCCCGCCCCTGTAGCCCAGATTGTTTATTTGAATGGTTCTGGGAATCAGAGGGAGGGATCTTGGACTGGTTGGTTTCTGTGGAATCTCGAATTTCCAGAAACGAACGCCCATGTGCGAGCGCGAACACACACACACACACACACACACACACACACACACACACACACACACACACACACCTGAAGCCCTAACACATAGACATCATGGGGGAGAGGGTCACCCTTTCAGTATTGAAGGATCCCTAAGTGGGTCAAGTGGATGAAGTAGTTAGTGAATGAGGAGTGATCTTCCTGGGAGAAGTTTGTGGAATTAGACCCGCCTGTGCCGATTGGACACTGGGGGATGAACTGGATTATATCAGGGCTCAAGAATCTGTATGTTGTTTTTTTTCTTCAAAAATAATGAAATGCTGACACACAGCTTCTGTTTTTGCTGAGCAAGACTGGTTTCAACTGAATATCTACAAAGGAGTGCAGATGAGTTATCTAGGAACGGTGTTATTTTGTATCAGTATTGTTTATATGAAGAAAACATTTAAGAAGTGAGTTTTCCATCAAGAGTTGGATATTTTCTGCAAGTAGTGTTTTGATTGTGTTGATTTTGTCAGCTCAGAGTATCTGCTTTTAGTTTGTAGATTTTTTTTTTTTACTTTTAAAGAAAATAATTTAAGCATTGGTTTTAAGCTATTTTAGACTACTTATAAGATGAAGTGAAAGTTTAAAGAATAAACTTTTATTGTTTGACTTTTTTTAAAAAAAATATAATTTCAGGCAGCATTTTCATTAACCAAACTGCTGGAAGCCACATCTGCAGTATCCGCTCAAGTGGACGAGCTTGCCTTGAAATGTACAGAAAACGCACGTTTCCTGAAAACATGGCGGGACCTCTTGAAAGAAGGCTACAATTCTTTGAAGCCTGACAACTGATTTAGCTGTGGAATAACTCAGACTTCCTCATTTATGATATTTTCACTTGTATCATATGTATAGGGGAATCCCCAGTAGTTCTGTACACTCAAAATGAAATTTTTCTTTTGTGAAAGCAGAATACTGATGATATTTTTGATGCTGGCTAGTATTTGTTTCATCTTTTGACTAAACTTTCATAGAATCTTTTATGAAAGTTAATTTCATCAGTAGACAAATATACCACAGTGTTATCAGGAGCAAACGAGGAAGAACATTATTTTATTTGATTTGCAAGAAGATGCCAAGAATGGCAGAGTAACTTTAAGGTTAGTAATGTTAGTTCCAATTCCATTAGGCTAACTTCTCTAGACCAATCCCAGCACCTAGGACAGTGTCACTCTAAAGAGTCAATCTTGTTGACTTAAAAAATATATATATTTTTAATGGAGATTTGAACTTTTACTGATGACAGCTTTTAAAAATATATGCTAAATATTTTTTGCCCTCTACGATGCTGTTAAAGCAATAGTAATAAGGATAAAGTATAATATCGAATAGGTATTAAAGTGTGGAATTGAAGTGTGCTATCTGAAAGTATGGAATGGAATGTAACTAAATTGATAAGCACCTTTAAGTGGCCTGTATGTAGAAAATAGTTAAAGTGATCTGTACCCCATATGTAAGACCGGATAGCAAGGCTCCTGGGACCCGCTGATAAGACACACTGCAGATGCCATCTGAGCACAAGAGCAAGCCCCAGAGAAGATCAGAGACGCTGGTTCTGCTCCACAGAAGGAGGTCGCTCTCCACTTTCCCTACCTGCACCTGTCAAGCTCTGCCTGAGCCGTGAGCCTGAACCGAGAGCCGCGGACTGTGAGCTGTCCCGAGAGGCCTGAACTGCAGCTGAGCCTCAGCTGCAAGATCCTCCATGAACCGTGTGTGTGTGTGTGTGTGTGTGTGTGTGTGTGTGTGTGTGTGTGTGTGAATGAGGATACCCGGGTGGCCTGCCGAGGACTCAGGTAAATAAATCATGTGTGATTCGTGCATTGTATGTTTAAGTACTTGGGTCGTACGTGTCAGATTACTGCTGAGGCACCCTAGGTCACCTGTGCATACGTCCCTTATGGAATAATTGGGACAGATGCTTTTTAAAAAAGCTTTTACTTCAGAAAATGAAAGCATGTATAGAAAGAATGCATATTTCCCCCCATATTTTTTCTAAGATTAACTGCTTCTAGAGATATTTCTTGCATTCCATATTGTTAGGTTTTTGATTGTTCTCTCTAAAGTGCCTTATCACAATTATGGCTCTGTGCCATTACTTTTGTAAGTAATAATTCTGAATTCTAAATATAATGATTTTAAAGAAGTTACTTTGTTTTTAATGCATCAAATTTAAATGATGTGATTATTTTCATATTATTTTACTTTATTGACAATGTTCTATTTTACTTGTCCTGTAGTTTATGTTGCTTTTCTCTCCCTAGTGGTTTGTATCATATGTCAATGAATAAGTGCACTAATTCTCTACTATATAACTCTGGACATCTTTGATATAGCATCTTATTCTTTGTAGTTATGGAGATATGTACAAAACTGTATTTTAAAACTCCACAATGGGGTTATGAAAGGGGACAAATGTATGAGCAAATAGTTTTGTTTAGCATATTAAGTCATAGTGCTTGATTAGTTTTTTAAAGTTAACACATGGTACATACCTGTACCATAGAGATGTTTATTTTGATATTAGAAAGTATTTTTTTTATGTATCATGAAAATTGAAATTAAAATGTACAAAAATAAATTTGTTAAAAGCAAATTTCCATTTCCTTGTGTTCATTACTCTAAAATTTTTTGTTGAAATATTTTCAAACATAACAGGAGAGGTGAATGATTTAATGAACACCAATGCATTTCCACCATACAGATTTAATAAATGTTAACATTTGGCTATATTTTCTTTGATATATGTATGCAAGTATAGAAGTTACTGTATTTGGAGAGGTGGAAGGATGGAAGAGTGAGTGAATTAAACAGACAGGAAACCAAATGGCTTCTAAAATATTCTGAAAATATTTTAAATGTTAACAGGTAGTTCCAGATGTATATTTTTATAACTCACAGCAATTCAAAGATCCTTAATCCTAACACAACTTCTAAGATTCACAATCATAATTTTCGTAGGAATACATTTTATTATGTCTTCATGATTACTGTTTTTTTTTTTCTTTCTAGATATTCTTTTTAAGAAAAATGATTTTCCATTCCATCCTAATATATAAAAACCCAGAGTCAGTAATGACCAACAGAAGGCTCCATCAAACACTGGATGTTAGTCCGTGGCGACCCAGGACTGACTGCCACCAGTGCAGGTGCAGTGACCCAGCACTGAATGCTGTGAGGACTGTGGATCAGATCCAGAGAGAGGCCCGAAGAGTGAGGCAGGGTCTGATCTGCAATCTGGCAGCTGTTGATCAGCTGTGGTCTCTCTCTTTCTCTCTGGGCTTTGCCAGCAGCCGTGCCTCTGTTTCTCTCAGGCCTCTGTAGGGGCTGCTGATTAGCCCCACTTCTCAGGCACAGAGATGGGCCTGGAGAAACCTCTCAGTCAGAACCAAATTGGTAGTTGGGGGTGAGATCAAGTCTGCAGGGGAGAGCAGTTGGGGGTGAAATCAGGTCGGCAGGCAGAGGCAGTGAGGAGCAATCAGGCAGGCAGGCAGAGGGGTTAGGGGTGATTAGGCAGGCAGGCAAGTGAGTGGTTAAGGAGTACCTGTTCCCAGATTGTGAGAGGGATGTCTGCCAGTTTATGCCTGATAAGTGGCAATCAGACATCCCCCAAGGGTTCCCTGATTGGAGAGGGTGCAGGCTGGGTTGAGGGAACCCTCACTCTGTGCATGAATTTCATGCACTGGGCCACTAGTTATTTAATAATAGTAATACTTTAGTCCTGGCCAAATAATTCAGTTCTTTAGACTGTTTTAATATATCAAGGTTGCAGGTTTAATCCAGGTCAGGGTACATACAAGCATAAACCAACGAATGCATAAGTAAATGGAACAACAAATCAATAAAAATAAAAAATAAAATTATCAAGAAGTGTTAAGAAAATTAAAATAGTAAAATTTAATAAATAATCCAAACAAATAAATGTATTTGTACTTTTGTAAGCTTTTTAAAAAGTATAATCTAAGTAGAGAACTTAATATTATAAGCAGAATTATAGCTTTCTATTTGATTTTTATTAAAAGTACAACACATTCCTCATGCAGAAAAACTGGAACCATTTCAAGTGAGAACAGAAAAAGCTCAAAGCAATCCATATTTTTAATAGAGTTAATTTTCAGGTAATTTATTTTAAAATAAACCTATACTATTATATACTGAATAAATATGTTTTGAGTCCATTATTTTCATGTTTTAAACATTTTTGTTATAGTTAAAACTACTTGAAAACATATTATTCCTTTTTAAAGGTTTTAAATTCTGAAAGCTTAAGATTCCAATAGCTCAGAGACCAGAAGAATTAACTAGCAAAAAAGTAGTATTTTATGATCTGGTTGGCCGTGCAGACAGAAGGTGAATTCATCTCTTGATGACAAACTTTAGACCAAAACATGTACATAGATTTTTTTATTCCTGAAGTTAAGTTCCTGACTGTACACTCTAACTCTTCTTTTCCTTTTAACTGCTTTATTGAGATATAATTCATGTACCATAAAATTCACCAATCTAAAGTATATAATTCAGTGGCTTTTAGTATAATCAGTTATTTATCCATCATCATAATCAATTTTAGAACTTTTTCTTTTGCCCAAAAAAAGATATTCTCCACTTCTTAGGCACCCACTCCCAACCCTCCCACCCCCCAGTAAACTAATCTTTCTGTCTCTATGACTTCACTTATTCCAATATTTCATGCAAGTGGAATCATACAGTATCTGTCCTTATTGGCTGGCTTATTTCACATTCATCATGTAGCATGTGTCAGAACTTAATTTCTTTTTATGGCTGAAAAAATATCCCATTGTATGTATAAACTACATTTTGTTTATCTGTTCATCAGTGGATAGGCACTTGGATTGCTTCTATTATTTTGACTACTGTTTATAATGCTGCAAAGAGCACTTGCATGCAAGTATCTGAGTCCTGTTTTCAACTCTTCAGTTCATACTGAGGACTGAAATTGCTGGAGCTTATGGTGATTGTATAATAAGCTTTTGAGGACCCACTGACCTGTTTTCTATGGCAGCTGCACCATTTTACATTCCAACCAGCAACGTGGAAGGAGTTTCAATCTTCATATCCTTGCCAACATGTTATTTTTTAAAATTATAGTCCTCGTAGTAGGTGTGATGTGTTAGCTTATTGTGGTTTGGATGTGCATTTTCCTAATGATTAATGATGTTGAGCATCTTTTCATGTGTTATTGGCCATGAGTATACTTTCTTTGGAGAAATCTCTGTTCAAATCCTTAGCCCGTCTTTTTTTTTTTTTTTTTTTTGATTGAGCTGCTGACTTTTTTGCTTAGTTGTAGGAGTTCTTTAAATGTTTTGAATATTAACCACCCCCCTTCAGATATATGATTTCTAAATATTTTCTTTTATTGCATAGGTTGTCTTTTCACTATTTTTTTTAGAATGTCCTATGATATACAAAAGTTTTAAATTTAGAAATCCAATTTATTTTTTTTCTTTTGCTGCTATACTTTTATTGTCATATCTGAGAATGTTACCAAGTCAAAGGTCTTGAAGATTTACCCCAATTTTCTTTTTCCTAAGAGTTTTATGTCTTATATTTTGATTTTTGATTCAGGTTGAGTTAATTTTTGTATATGGTGTAAGGAAGGGGTCCAACTTCATTCTTTTGCCTGTGAATGGTACCTGCATCACGTGTAGAAAAGACTTCTTCATTTGATTATTTTGGCTGAAAATCAGTTGACTGTAAATGTGAGAGTTTTATTTTTAGACACTCAAATTCTATTCCACTGATCTGTATGTCTAGCCTTATCCTACTTTTTCTTG